CTGGGGGAGGACCTGGATGGAGGGAAGGAGGTTTTAATTCCTGGCTTGCCGAGACCCTGCATCCACTCTGACCCCCAAAAACCTCTTCTAGCTTCTTGTCCACAACACCCCACCCCACCCTCATGAGCACACCCACCTTTATCCTAAAATCATCCAGTGAAAGTTTCTGCTGCTTTTTTTTTTTTTCTTTTTTGGTTTCTTGTGGGATCTTAGTTCCCCCCCCCAACGAGGTGTCAAACCCGCGCCCCCTGCATTGGAAGCATGGAGTCTTAACCATCGGACCGCCAGGGAAGTCCCAGTTTCTGCTGTTTGACAATGAGTAAGTGCTCCGGCACAGATCAGGAAAGAGGAATTGAAATAGGGTAGGAGTGGAAGCCTCCCTGGACTGCGCAGGAGCCACATAACCCCAAACTCTTCCCAAATAGGAAGTTAAAGGAGCCGGTAGTGGGGCCGCGGGTCCACCAGCCACGACCCTCAGCCCCTCAGCGCCCCCATCTCCCTCAGTGCTCTGCTCTCCCAGCAGATGCATTAAAAATCCACCGGCCCTGTAGGAATCCCCTAGTGGTCCAGTGGTTAGGACTCCTCGGTCTCACTGCCGGGTCCCCGGGTCAGGGAACTAAGATCCTGCACTGCCAACAAACAACCAAACAGGCAAAAAAAAAAAAAAAAAAATTCACGCAGCCTTGGAGCAAGCCGGCTGCTGCCGCCACTCCCACCGCTCTGGCCCGGAGGTCCACTTCCTTGCCTGGCCAGGGCAAGTCCACCCGCCAAGGGGTGTTCAAAGGGGGCCCTCCCGCTTCCCCGGGTGGCCCCCTCCCCCGCCCCTGGGGAAGCCGGCGGCCGCCTGGTGTCGCGGGCTATTTCTGGGTGTGGAGGGGGAGGGGAATGGTAAGAGGGACAGGGAACTGGGGCGCTGGGGTCGGGAAGCCCAAGGAGTTTTTCCAGCCGCCATCTCCTATATTAAAAGGGACCCCCGCTCCTTGAAATCTCTCCTCCCTTAGCCATTAAACTACCGGGCCGCGACTGACAACTGGCCAACTCATCGTTCACGGGCCCTCCACTCTCCGGGCTCTGGGAGAGAACAAGGTCCTGAAGCGGCGCGGGTGAGGATAGTCAGCGAGCTAGAAAGTCCTGAGAAAAGCTGCACCCGACTTGAGAAAGGGCTGGGAGTGGGTGCGGCCCGAAGCCCAGAGGACAGCAAAGGTCCTGGGAAAAAGGAGCTCCTGGCACCGAGAGCGACGAGGGGGGATGCGTCCCAGCGCCCGGGATGCCAAGGTGGGGAGGAGGTTGGGAATGGGAGTCCCATCCTGGTTAGGGTACCCCCGGGGGCGCTCACTCGGCGTAGCCCGTGCTCCAAGGCAGGCGACGGCCAGTGTCCGGGGGGCTTTGCACAGCCCGGCCAGCGTGATCATCGGCGCGTCGCAGGCCCCCAGGGCTCAGCTGCAGAAAGGTCGGTCGGCAGAAGCTTGCTCGAGCCTCTACTGTCCTCGCGGGTGCCGCACTCCCGCTCCCAGCCCTAGCCGGAGGGCTTCTGGGAGCTTGTGGAGGGGCGGCGGGTGGCGCCGAGGTCGAGTTGGGCAGGTCTGGCGACTTGGGGCGCGGAGGCGGGGCGCCCCCAGAGCTCACCAGGTGCGCCACGGCCGAACGCACCCGGTTTAGCATGCTGCCTCCCTTCCCCGCCCTCGGCCGTGGCCCCGCCCCAGGACAGGCCCCGCCCCCTAGGTCTCTCGAGGGGCGGTGCTCGCTCCGGTCAGTTCGGCCCCACCATTGGCTCGCGGCCCGCAGGGCCGGCACCCGGGGAAACTACCTGCGGCTCTGGGCTACCCCGGGAACAGCCCCGCCGGCTCGCGGCCTCTCCCCCGCCCTGTTCCGACTTCTCCCGCCTCTGTTTTTTGGGGGGAAGAAGGGTCTGCTGTTGTAGGAAGGGGACAGAAATCTTATTTCAGCCTTGCTCTATATCAATCAGCTAGAACTTCCCTATTGTGACGGGAGGGTGGTGTCTCCTCGCCCTGGGTTCGTTGTGGCTAGCCTGCCCAGAGGGTGATGGAGCTGATGATCTCCGTTAGCGACCGCTGGGTGTGAAGCTCCGGTTGTGGTAACACCTCTGGCTGGGGCTGCCGGAATGAGAGTGAGGGCCAGCGAGCTGGTGCTGGGAGTGGTGTGGAAGTGGTAACAAGGCAGGCTGGAGCCAACCATCCTGAATTAGGGAGCTGGGTAAGTTCCCGGATTCCCGAGGGCGCTGTTCCCCGTGAAAACCACCGCTAGATCCGGCAGAACAGTTGCCACTCCGACTCCACTTTTTTTTTTCGGGACCCAATTTCCGCCCATATTTGGACCTCCCCTGACCACAGCAGAACTGTTAATAAGGATAACAATAACTACATTTATTGAGGACTTACTAATAATAGGCTCTCTACAAAGCACTTTCTATACTTTAGGCCCTTTACACTGCACACTAACCCTGCAAGGTAGGTTTTATTATGTTCGTTTTATGGATGACGCAGGACTGGACGCTCCTGTCATTTTACATGACTTGTTCCAGGAGGTCAACAGCCAGTGGGAAATTTATGCCCATGTCCGTTCCCCAGCCACCCACACCGATTCTTAAAAACCAAGCTGATTTATCTAGATCAGAGAGGAAGGGTTAAGAGGTAGGTGAATAGAAGAGGGGGGTGTTCCTCCTCTCCCACCCTCCTCCTCTTAAGGCAAAGGTGGAGAACAGTCCAGGTGAACAGCTGCTGTGGCTGCCACCTGGGGGAGACAGAGGCCAGGCTAAGTCCCTGCCTGAGAGGGGAGGGTGGTACTGACCTAATGCTGGAACTATGTTCCTAAGCCTGGGAATTGATTGTTAGGCCTCAGAGACACCTCCTACCCCACACATGGTTCAAATGGGGACAAGGCCCTTATGGTCCTAATGCAAGTCAGGGTAGTCCTCAGGGACTGGCACCCAGTTCATGGTGGGGATTCCACCTCTGGACTCTGTCAGCTGGGTGCTTCCTGACCATGACCCTCTCTGTTCCTGGCTAGACTGTACCCCCAGAAGGGGTGTCTTTTCTGGTACCTTCCAAATAAAAATCTCACAATGGTCGTTCAGGTTTGTAGACTTCTATAATTATGCCTGCACTTTGGGCAGAGAGAAGGAAAAAGAAGAAAAGAAAAGAAAACCAGAAAAAGTCAGACCCAAAGGCACATAGAGTGGCAAGCCAGACAGGGAGATAAAGAACATGCTGCTGCTATGGGTATTTCCCTCCTGTTTGAGAAAAACTGGAACCAGCTCACAGATAAATGGCATAAACAGTGGCAGCAAGCCATAGACAGAAGAAAAAATATAACATCCTGGCTATTTTTATTATTCAGTGTTTCTGGGACAGTTTGCTTACCACTTCTCCGTGTCATCTAGCTCCATAATCCCTGCTCTTCACAACACCCATCATGGTGTGACTGCAAGTGGGCCACAGAGCCAGGGCCCAGAGACCCCCTAGTTCCAGCAACAGATGGTCAGCAGGGATGTCAACAGCTCCCTTGGGCTCTAGAACAGCCCTCCAACCGTACCCAAATCCTAAGACTCTCCTCTCCCTGAACCTCTCACCTCCTATTCCTGGCATCATCATACCTCCTGCATCCTCAGACTGCCCCAGAACCTGGTGAGAAGGTCACCATCTCTACTCATCCCTGAGGCAGTACAGAGTGAGAGGCAAAAGGGAGGTGGAGTGGGAAGAAGCAGCCGTGTAGGTTATTCTTTGCTGAGAACTGCTCAGAGGCTGGTCCTGCCAGGAGTGTGCGAGACCTCAGCTAGGGGTAGGAAATGGGTATCCTCAAGAGAAATCCCTTTAGGGACTTCCCTGGTGGTCCAGTGGGTAAGACTCCACTCTCCCAATGCAGGGGGCCCGGGTTTGATCCCTGGTGGGGGAACTAGATCCCGCATGCATGCCGCAACTAAGAGTCCTTATACTGCAAATAAAAAAGATCCCGCATGCCGCAACTAAGACCGGGCACAGCCAAAATAAATACATAAATATATTAATTAGTTAATTTTAAAAAGAGAGAGAGAGAGAAGTCCCTTTATCCTGGGCCACGTGCAGTGGCTCAGAGCCAGGAACTGGGCTTCTTCCCTTTGCCTCTCCCCTCCCCATTACTCCAATCCCAAAGCCCTCTTAAACTAAGAGGAGTGTCCTTCAATCAAGAGACAAATTCACAGACCACCACTTCCTCTCTCATTTGTCTAATACTTTCACATCCAGAATCTCACCCTGTAAAAAATTACACACTATACAATTGCAATTACATTGCAATCTTTATGCTGAAGAAACTGGGTCTCAGAGTTTTGTTCCCAAGTTGGGGTTCATACCCATCATCCACAGGCCTACCAAAACCCTCTTGCCTTCCAGGCCCCTACCCACATGCCTCCCCTGGTCCTTCCTGCCCCAGAGGACACCGCTCCTGGGGTAGAGATCATTTGCTATTTCCTCCTGGATTTTAACATTTTAACACTGAAGGGCTACCATAGCAATCTAAAAGAGCATTGTCAAATAGGATTTTGTGCAATGTGGGAATATTCTATATCTTTTCTGCCCAGTACAGTAGTCCCTAGCTGCATGTGGTGATTGAGCACTTGAAATGTTGTGAGTGTAAATGAGAAACTTAAGATGTTATTTACCGTATCGGACAGTGCAGTTCGGGAATCTTCAAGGCTCAAAACCCGTGAGGGTCTGGGCTATCACTCCTGACACTCAGCAACCCACCCCAAGCCCCAACACCTCCATAGTCTTGAGGGACCACTCTGAATTACCTGCCTATACCAGGGACCACATCGCGGGGTCTGGCTGTCCTCTCTTCCCCGGTCTTGCCTCGAGCGCCAGGGGTCGCTGTGCCCGCGGGGCCGGCGGAGCGCTGTGCGCGGTGCCCGGCGCTGTCCGGGAGGCGGCGGCGGCTACGCCCGCGCGGGGCTGGGGAAGCGGGGGCGGCCCCGGGCTAGGAGGAGGAGGAGGCGGCGGCGGCTGCAGCCGCGAGCTCCCAGGCCTGCGGGCGGCAGCCTCGGAGGGACCTCGGCTGAGCTCTGCAGAGCTGGCCGAGCGGGCCCGGAGCTCCCCGGTGCCCAGGGCGGGCCCCGCATGACCGTGATGCCAGTTTGGTCAGAGCCCCTGCGCCTCGGGGACGCAGCAACTTGGTGAGGGGGACAGGACTCCGGACTAGACAGCACCGGAGCTGACCGCTCCCGCCTGCAGTCCGCCTTTCGGAGTCTCGATCCCGGGCTCAGAGGCGAGGAGAACCTCAGGACGGCGGGTGGAACCCGTGGGTACCGCCGTGGGGCAGGTAGGTCCCAGGCGTGGGAGCTCAGAATTGGGAGGACTGAGTGGGCGCGGGGCAGGGGCGGGAGAAGGCAGGGAAAGGTTAAAGGATCTTGTGGTTCACATTCTCAACCCTATGCTGGCATACAGGGGTTTGGGGAAAACAGCCTGGGAAACTGAGGCAGGAGTGTGGAAGCCTGAGAACAAACACCAGAAGCTTCTTTCTCAAGCTCTCTCTGAAGGAAGGAATAGAATGCCAGAGAAGGCACCCCAAATGCCCACTCCCGGGTCTTTTGGGTCTTGGGGTTCATAGGAGAGATGGGAAAGTGGGGTTGGAGGTGCGGCAGCTCAGGGTGAAATGGGTTGGGGGACTGCCGGAGAAAAGGCACAGCTGCCTTTGTAATGATCAAAACAAAGGTTCCTGAAGGGGGCAGGGAGAGGAGATACCTACTCAGAAAAGAGGTACTTCTAGAAGCTCTCTGCCCGTGGAGCACAACCATCCCAGGGGTTTTGGCATCACTTCCTCCATCTGCCCCCGCAGTCTTTTCTGGGCTCTCACTCTGGGGAGCTAGGACACATGGCTCTTGGTCCTTCTTGAGCCCCACCATCCTACCTGCCTCAGTTCCACCTCCCTCTGGAGGTTGAGGGAGGGGAGGTCTTGGGGAAAATGGAGATGCTTTGGGGCTGAGGCTGCTGAGGCTCAGAGACCTAGAGGACTCCCGTTCTAGCCCTCTAGAGTGGGAATGGGGGTGAGGGCAGCAGAGTTGAGCCAGCTCCTGGCCAGTCCAGGAAGCAGGTGTGATGGGGCTAGGAGGAGGAAGAGGCAGAGAGGATTCAGGACCTCAGGGGTTATTATTCTCAGGCGCCTCTTCCCAGCAGTGGCTGTCAGATTCTGCTCAGGAACTCTTCCCTGGCCTTCAGCCCCTTCCCAAGGCCAGAGAGATGACAGGGTTGGTTCTTAGACACCTCCTACCACCAACCCTGCTTCACTCCTGGCACAGAGAAGCTCCCTCCGGAGCTACATGTTCCCAGAGTCTGCAAGGACATTTGCGAATTCCCAGGGCAGAGGAGGGACTCTGCCCCCTGTCCTGGCACCTTGGGGAACAACCTCAGAATTAGGCACTACTTCAGTGCCCAGTCCACCCACTTGCCCTCACCCAGGCCCTCCTCCACCCCCTGCATGGCCACGGGCTCCCTCTGTCCCTTGCAAACCACAAGAATCTCTCCTATTTGTCTAGGAAGAGTGAGTCTGAGGCCAGTAGATGAACTGACAGAAGATAAAAGATTCCAAAAAAGGTGAGTGAGGAGACAGTTGAAGAGGGGGAGTTGGGGGAGTGGTGCGTAGACAGAGATCAAGCACCCTATCCAAGGGAGCAGCCGGGTCCTGGCATTTGGTTTGGCCTCTAGTGTTCCCAGCACTAAGCTGGCACCTGAGGGAGCCCAGTGATCCCCAAGGGGTAGCAGTGCAGCAGAGGGGGTGGTTCATGCCCCTTCTGTGCTTGGGTGGCTCCCAGCTGCTCTGTGCCTCTGCTTTACTGGGGTTCCCCCCATTTCTAGTCCACTCTCTGGGATAGATTTGGGAGATTCGAACCATCAAGGATGAAGGAGGAGAAGGAAAGGGGAAGAGAGCAGAAGCAAGGTGGTCCAGTGGGAACAGGGCAGGTTTCTGCGCTCAGGGCCTTCTACCCACATGCTGCCTGGCCTTGGGCAAGTCACTTGACTTCTATTAGCCTCCACTTCATTTCTTCCTTTTTATATTTAAATTTTGTTTAAGCTGAATTGCTAGTACCTTCCTGTGGTTCAAATCCCAAAAGATTAAAGAGCAATAGGGAGAGAGATTTCCTTGGCAGTCCAGTGGTTAAGACTTTGCCTTCTAATGCAGGGGGTGCGGGTTCGATCCCTGCTTGCGGAGCTAAGATCCCACATGCCTCGCGGCCAAACAGCCAAAACATAAAATAGAAGCAATATTGTAACAAATTCAATAAAGACTTTAAAAATGGTCCACATCAAATATTACTCAGCCATAAAAAGAAACAAAATTGAGTTATTTGCAGTGAGGTGGATGGACCTAGAGACTGTCATACAGAGTGAAGTAAGTCAGAGAGAGAAAAACAAATACCATAT